GCTGACGCTGTTGTTTTCTGATGATGAAGACGATTCTTGTGCTGCTGCTGATGACGATGATGATGATGATGATGATGATGATGATGATGATGATGATGGAGCTGCTGATGCTGCTGCTGACGATGCTGCTGCTGATGATGATGACGATGTAAATGACGATGACGATGCTGAAAATGACGATGGTGATGCTGAGGATGACAATGCTGCTGCTGATGATGACGATGGTGGTGATGCTGATGATGCTGATGATGATGACACTGACGATGCTGTTGTTGATAATGCTGATGATGATTATGATTTTCTTGCTGATGCTGATGATTATGATTTATGATGGTGACGATGACGACGATGTTGATGATGTTGACGCTGGCGATGACGATGCTGATGCTGATGCCGATGCTGATGATGATGATGATGCTGACGCTGCTGATGATACTGCTGCTGATGATGACGATGACGATGGTGGTGACGATGTTGATGCTGCTGATGATGATGGTGGTGGGGTTGATGATGACGCTGGCAATGACGATGCTGATGCTGATGCTGATGATGATGGTGCTGATGCTTATGATAATGACGACGCTGATGATGGTGATGATGATGACGGCGCGGTTTATGATTATGTTGATGATGATGATGATGATGGTAATGGTGATGATGGTGATGGTATGATACTACTGATGATGCTGATGATGCTGATGGTGATGATGATGATGGCGATGACGATGTTGATGATGGTGATGACGATGCTGATGACGCTGCTGCTGCTGCTGATGCTGATGATGCATCTGATGATGATGACGATAATGATGAAGATGATGATGACGCTGGCGATGACGATGCTGATGCTGATGCTGATGATGATGGCGATGACGATGATGGTGACGATGCTTATGATGCTGATGATGCTGATGATGATGCTCATGATGATAACGGTGACGGTTTTGATGCTGATGATGATGTTTATGATGATGACAACGCTGATGATGGTGATGATGCTGTTGATGACGATGCGGATGCTGATGATGAAGTTGGTAATGGTGATGATGGTGATTGTGATGATACGGATAATGATGATGCTGATGCTGTTGATGCTGATGGTGGTCATGATGGCGATGACGATGCTGATGCTGATGATGACGATGATCATGCCGATGCTGATGATGCTGATGATATGATGACGACGATGACGATGATGATGATGATGATGATGATGATGATGATGATGATGATGATAATGATGATGACGCTGGCAGTGGCGATGCTGATGCTGATGCTGATGCTGATGCTGATGATGATGATGCTGATGATACTGATGATGATGCTGATGATGATGATGATGATGATGCTGCTTCTGCTTATGACGCTGACGATAGTGGTGACGATGCTGCTGATGCTGATGATGATGACGATGATGGTGCCGGTGACGGTGCTGATGCTGATGATGATGCTTATGAGGATGACGACGTTGATCATGGTGACGATGATGACGATGACGATGCGGATGCTGCTGATGACTGTAATGGTGATGATGGTGATATTGATGATGCTGATGATGCTGCTGATGCTGATGATGATGCTGATGACGATGCTGCTGATGATGATGATGATGATGATGCAGATGTTGCATATGACGATGACGACGATGATGCTGATGATGATGGTACTGACAATGCTGGCCATGATGGTAATGATGACGATGATTCTGATGATGATGGTGATGATGATGATGACGCTGACCATGCTGATGATGATGTTGATGAGAATGATGATTAGAATGATGCTGATGCTGATGCTGCTGATGATGATGCTGACGGCGACGACGATTATTCTAATGACACTGATGATGATTATCATGCTGGCGATGATGATGATGATGATGATGATGATGATGATGATGATGCTGATGCTGATGCTGATGCTGATGCTGATGCTGATGCTGCTGATGATGACGATGATGACGATGATGATGCTGATGATGCTGTTGATGATGATGATGATGATGATGATGATGATGATGATGATGATGATGATGATGATGATGATAATGATGATGATGATGATGATGATGATGATGCCGATGATGACCATGATGATCATGATGATCATGATGACGCTGATGATCTGATGAGGACGAGGATGAGGATGAGGATGAGGATGATGCTGCTGCTGCTGCTGATGATGATGATGATGATGATGATGATGATGATGATGATGATTATGATGTTTTTTCGTGATAATGACGATGTTGATGATGGGGATAATGATGAGGAGGAGGAGGAGGAGGAGGGGTAGGAGCAGGAGGAGGACGAGGAGGAGGATCAGGAGGAGGACAAAGAGGGACCAATGTAAACCCAAGAGTCATCAACGATGTTGGACTCAACCCTCCCTCCAAGCTTCCTCTTTAGATGTCCTTACAACGGTTCATTTCCACTGAGGGAACTGCCTTGTTGGAAGACAACCGTTTGAAGACCCTGAAGCATGGAAAAACATTGTTCTCGGGACTCCAACTCCACCGATCACCCCGACTGTTGTGTCTTGGCGAACCCGAATCTTGCCAGAACGCCATTCCTGGGACTTCAACACCGCGAAGCAGCGTAACTGTTGCACCCTCATAACCCTGAATCCTTCCAAAACATCATGTTTGGTACTTCATGGGAACCGATGAAACTCTTGCAAAGTAAAAATAACGAACGTGCGCGGCGCTAGGGCGAGAGCCACATTTTGAAAAGGAACCGCCCTCGAGCAGTGAAACTACTGCAACTGTTTCAAACGAATGTACGCGGCGCTAAGGCGAGAGCCGCATTTTGAAAACGGTCCGCCCTCAATCCGTGCTCCAATTTGTCAAACGAATGTACGCGGCGCCCAGGCGAGAGCCACATATTGAAAACCACCCGCCCTCAATCCGTGAAACTCTTGCGAACTTTGAAAACGAATGTGCGCGGCGTTAAGGCGAGAGCCGCATTTTGCAAACCATCCGACTTTGATGTGTGAAGCCGTTGCATCTTTTCAAGCTTCATGGTCATAAGTGGTGAGGAAGTCTTAGGCGAAATGCCCGGCCCGCCCTAAAAGCTGGCCTCCAGGGAGAAGTTGTCTATAAGGAAAAGGAATTGATGATGATGATGCTGTTTTTTCTGGCTGCACTCCCAAAAGTTGGGTGTGCCTAGCAAGGCGAGGGCAATTGGCCTTCGGGGATTCTGCCAACTCACCCACGAGTTGACTGGCATGCCCCTGAAGTCTGTCAGAGCATGCTAGCAACACACAAAGGGCACATCTGTCCCATGCTGCACGGAAGGGCAGACACCATGTCTGCCGAGGACTCGACGGCCAGCAACAGCCACTTACTTTCTGACAGCACCGTCCAGAAATAAGATCGACGACATGCCGAATCAGTTCGGCGATACTGCAAAGAGCTCAAGCGCACAATACAACAATCAACAATCTCAAACTTGTGATGTATGTGATAGCTTGCTTTGCAGGCGCTCTGTGGTGAGCTTTCGCCGGCCTCGCCGGCTCGTCAGAAATAAGGTCGACAACATGCCGAATCAGTTCGGCGATGCTGCAAAGATGTCGGGCGCATACTTCTTGGTTCCCAGACACGTTTCGCTAAAGGGCTCGAGTCGTCTAGAATTATGTCGGGCCAGTCCCCCTACAGGGGGATTTTCGACGAAAAATTCAGAATACCCTAAAAATACCCCACAAAGGCCAAACAATATTCAAAACATAGTCCCCAGACTATGTTTGGACCATTTTTTGACTATCTTTGGGGTACTTTTTATTTTTCGTCGAAAATCCCCCTGTAGGGGGACAGGCCCGACTTAAGTCTAGGAAGAGGCAGCAGCGGAGACCCACGGGGGGAGGCACGGGGAGCCCGAGAGCGCCCGTGCCGGCGACTGCTTCGCCCGAGGTCTCCTCGCAGCTTCTGCAGGGATCGTCCCCTCGCCTCGGTGCCTTGGCATCGCTCGGACGTGTGCATTTTTTCCTTCGCGAGGACCAGCGAGGAGCCTCCCTGATCACCTGGCGACAAAAACCGCGCACGAGGCCGAACAAAAGCACAGGGAGTGGACGTCCGAGCGATGGCGAGTGTATGCAGGGATCGCTCCCTCGCCTCAGTGCAGGCTGCCTTTTTGGTCCGGGCTGCCCCGAACCGTGGTACGGTCGGCCCCGACTAGCAGGTCGACCACGCTCCTCCTCCCTCCTCCCTCCTCCTCCTCCTCCTCCTCCTCCTCCTCCTCCCTCCTCCTCCCCCTCCTCCTCCTCCTCCTCCTCCTCCTCCTCCTCCTCCTCCTCCCCTCCTTCTCCTCCTCCTCCTCCTCCGCCTCCTCCTCCTCCCTCCCTCCCTCCCTTGCGTCCTGCGCCTTGCGACCCATGCCTTCTCGCACTCCTATGGCAGTGTGGCCCTCGGAAGGGTCTCGTGTCCTCTCGCGTGTCCTTTCCGACCAAGTCCGACTGCAACACGCGCACGGAGGTGCACATCTTGCCTCACAACTGTTTACGCTTCGCGAGTCCCCACCGGCCCATTCGGAAGCCCTACCCGGGAGAGCTGATGGGAAAAAGGGACGAAGAGACGCGTGCAGTGAAACAGAGACTGCAATCTTGGAGGCTATCTTGGAGCGTCGGAGGCCTTCTCGGAGCTACGGGACCCGCCCTGCGCACGCGGCGGCCACGAGACGGCCACGGGCGGCAACGTCTCAAGAGTTCGCCTGGACCCTGCCAGCGCACGAAGCGGCGACGTGGCGGTCACGGGCGGGCAGAGTGGCGAACGTTCGCTGGGCGCAGTCAGCGCACGAGGCGGCCACGAAGCGGCCACGGACGGCAACGTGGCGACAACTCGCTGGACCCACCCAGCGCACACGGAGGCCCCGGGGCGGCCAAGGGCGCCAACATGGAAAATCCGTTTCAGATCCATCCAATTTCTGAGTGACGCACGCGAGAGACCCTAAGTGCAAGCAGTCTTAGAGGAATGATGTGTAGCAATGTAGACCCGCTCTTGTCAAGAGGCGTGGCGCCGCATGAACAAGAAGGGCAAGGTCGACGAGAACCAGAAGAAACGCACCCGCAAGGTGCTCGGCTGTACGAGACCCTTGCTGCACCTATCCAGTCCTCGCCCCTCCCTCGTTTTCACTCCTCCCCCATTCTTCCTCCCTGTCCCCTTCTACTCCTCTTCCTCCTCCCTCCCTGGTCCCTCCTTTCTCCTCCTTCCTCTCTTCTCCGTTCCTCCCCTCTCCCTCCTCCCTTCTCCTCCCTTCGGTGGGCTGTGGAGCTACATCTAGCCTCGCACCCCCCCCGCCTGTGAGGCGGCCAATCTTCCGTCATCTTCCGATGTTTTATTCAAGACTCTTCGCCTTCACCGCCCAGCCATTCCAGTTCTCGCTGGAAGAGACGAAGACGGCGCCAAGACGGGGTGGCAGTATTTCGAAAATGGCGACAGACCCCCCGCAGGTCCAAGAGGCGCCGTCAAGGTCCGAAGAGGGCCCCGAGAAGAGCCGCCTGGGCAGCCTCGGGCCCTTCTTGGGCCCGTTCTGGTTTCTGGACGGCTCAAGCGCGAGCATCTCCGTGCCCCGAATTCTCATTTTTCGATGTTCTATTCAAGTGGCTTACGTCATTCCGCCGACCCCCGAGAAGGAGTAAGAGTTTGCGACGTTCGTGGACGTTATTTTGTGGCCCTACGTCTTGTGGCCCTCTTGGTGGCCCCTTGGGGACTCTTGGGGGCGCCTCGGCAGCCTCTGGGGGGCTCTTGGGCCCATCGGGGGGCGGGGGAGGGCTCGCAATCCAAGCTCGCATTTCCCCTTTTGGGCCCCTCGTGAAGCCCTCTTGGGCCTGCCCTGGGCCGTCTTGAGAGCCCCTGGGGCTGCCTTGGGGTGCTGCTGGGCCGTCTTGGAGCCCTCTTGGGGCACCACTTGCTGTCTTGTGACGATATTGCGGGCCCCTTGTGCAGTCCTGGACGCCGTGAAGACGAAAAGGGCGAGTATGCTGAACATGAACGTTTCCCTGAGGGGATGGGACGACTTCTGCCTCTTGGGGCTCTCTCGGCGGTCCTCTGGGAGCACTCTTGACCTGTCTTGGTGGCCTCGTGAGCCAGCCGTCTCGGAGCTATCTCGGCAAAGGTTGGAGGGGGCAGCCACTCATCTCACACACCTCTTCACCCCCGGCAGTGGGGGTCGGCGGACCCTTTGGTGGCCTCTTGCAGGCTCAGGCCTCAAGATGGCCCTCGGCCCGAACACGACCCAGCGTCCAAGTCACCGTCCGCCGCCGCCGCCGCCTCCTCCCTTCTCCTCCTCCTCGATCTCCTCGCTAATCACACCAGTCCACTTACTCTCCGCTTTCCCCTGACGAGATCGCGAGGGTGCATGAGCTGCCGCCAGCAATCTCGATCTCGCCCTGCCGTGTCTGCTGTCCCTCTAGGTGCTGGCCGTCAGCGGTCAGGCCTCTGGCACTCCCCCCGGCAATGGCCTCTGGCTGGGGCCTTCTTTTATCCTGCAACAGCGGGGGTGACCTGCCCTGGTCGGGGATTCCGCCTGGCTCAGAGTCGCCGGTCGGCCCCAGAATGCCAGCCGTGCACGCCTTGCTCCCTGCGGCATCAGTGTTGTGTTGTGTTACAGTGCCGTTTTTAATACATGCTCCGCGTGCGGATCATGTATTGAAAATGCAGGGAATTAGTATTGAAAACAACGATGAGTTCATGCATAAGTTTATTCACAAATTCATCATGTATTCAAAACCTTATATGTTCAAACATCCTATGTATTAAAACTGCCCTGTAGGGTCCAGATATGGTAGCGAAGTTCTTCTGGACGTGGCTTTGAGGATCACCCGAGCACGCGGTTTCGACTGCCCAGGGAAAGCGGCCACGTCGTGCCAGCACGCGCGCCTCCCTCTTCCTCTTCCCCCTCGTTCTTTCTCCTCCTCGTCTTCGTCCTGCTCCTGCCCCCTCTCCCCCCCTCCTCTCCCCTTCCGTCCCCTTCCTCCTCCCTTTCTCATCTTCGGCAGGCTTTCTCCCCAGATCCGTTTCTGATGGCCTTCGGGGCCCGACAGCGGGCCTCATGAGGCCGAAACTCGAGGTTGAACGCCGGGGCAGAGCCTGTCCAACTGCCTGCCGCAAGTCCTGCCACCGTGCCAGCCCAGCATTCTGATCGATGGTTCGAGGGAGCACGGGAGTGCGTCACGTGTAACGGGTCGTGTCTCCAGGTTCGGGAGACCCGTGATGAAGATGGAGGTGATGATGCGATGCTGCTGCTGCTGATGACGATGATGATGATGATGATGATGATGATGATGATGATGATGATGATGATGATGATGATGATGATGAGGGTGATAATGGTGATTATGCTCGATGATGATGCTGATGATGATGCTGGTGGTGCTGGTGGTGATGATGATGACGACGATGATGATGAGGATGAGGATGAGGATGATGATGATGATGATGATGATGATGATGATATTGATGATGATGATGATGCTGATTCTGACGATGATGATGCTGCTGATGGTGATGATGGTGATGATGGGGATGATGATCACAATTACGATCATGGTGTTGATGATGCTGGTGATGATGCTGATGATGATACTGAGGATGAGAAGCAGGAGAAGGAAGAGGATGCGATATTGGTGATGCTGCAGTATGATGGTGGTGGCGCCGACGATGATACTATTCAGGATGATGATTATGATGATGAGGTCGATGATGCCGATGATGCTGGTGATGATGGTGGCAACCATGGATGTGTTGATGTTCACGATGAGGATGATGATAATGATGATGATGATGATGATGATGACGATGGCGATGACGACTATGATGATGCTGATGAGGTTGATGAGGCTGCTGATGATGAAAACCATGATGATGATTGTGCTGATGATGCTGAGGATGATAATGATAGTGGATGAGTATGACAATGGTGATGTTGACAACGATGAAGGTGTTGATGATGCGGGTGACGACGGTAATGATCGTGCTGCTGATGCGGATGCTGATGACGACGAACATGATGATGATGGTGACGATGCTGATGATGGCGATGATGATGATGACGACGACGACGATGATGATAATGCGGTTGAAGAAGACGATATTCGGAAGATGACGATGACGATAATGATGATGCTCATCCTGGTGCTGCTGATGCTGACTGGTGGCAAATTCTGATTCGGAGTATTATCATGATGCTGGTGCTACTTTCGGTGGTGGTGATGGTTATGATGATGATGAGGATGATGATGATGATGATGATGAGGATGATGACGACGATGATTAGGATGATAACGATGCGGATGGCGATGACGATGACGATGATGATGCTGATGCATATGATGGTGCTGACAAGTATGATGGTGATGATGATGATGATGATGATGCTGATGATGATGATGATGATGATGATGGCTGCTGCTGCTGACGAGGATACTGATGCTAAAGCTGATGCTGATGATGCTGATTATGATGCTGATGCTGATGATGATCCCGCTCTCCCAAGGAGGGTCTCCGCCGAGTGATGCTGATGATGCTGATGGTGATGATGAGGCTGATGATGATGATGATGATGATGATGCTGCTGCTGATGATGATGATGATGATGATAATGTTGATGATGATGTTGATGCTGCAAATGTTGATGATGATGATGATGAGGCTGATGATGATGCTGATGATGATGATGATGCTGATGATGATGATGATGATGATTATGATGATGATGATGATGATGATGATGATGATGATGATGATGATGATGATGATGATGATGATGATGATGATGATGATGATGATGATGATGATGATGATGATGATGATGATGATGATGATGATGATGATGATGATGATGATGATGATGATGATGATGATGATGATGATGATGATGATGATGATGATGATGATGATGATGATGATGAATGATGATGATGATGATGATGATGAATGATGATGATGATGATGATGATGATGATGATGATGATGATGATGATGATGATGATGATGATGATGATGATGATGATGATGATGATGATGATGATGATGGTGATGGTGATGGTGATGGTGATGGTGATGGTGATGATGATGATGATGATGATGGATGATGATGATGATGATGATGATGATGATGATGATGATGATGGAGAGGAGGAGGAGGAGGAGGAGGAGGAGGAGGAGGAGGAGGAGGAGGCGGAGGACAAGGAGGAGGAGGCCTAGGCCCGCCGCCATTCCAAGGGCGGCAAGATCATCGGGAAACCCATGAATCGCCGAGAGCTTCGCAAATCGTGCTTGCGCGACCCCCCCCCCTGGCGCCCCCTATGGGCCCCGCCCCCCAGCGGTGCAGAGCCAAGTCGGACAGACTGGGGGATCTCTCAGAAACCCGGGGGCCTGGGCGGAATTGTGGCCAAAATTGCAACCAGATCTGCACTGGGAATTGCAGCCCGACTTGCTAGCGGACGTGTCGCCGGCGCTCGTGCAGGGAGCCTCGCGCTGCGATCCGGAGCTTGCCCAGCACTTCCGCCTGCAATTCCGCATGTGGAGTGCGCGTGCGGCCCGCCCAGGGGGTCAGGTCGGCCCGGCGCGCCCCTCTCAGCGTGCCCCCTCGGCGCAATCCCGTTGGCGCACGCTCCATGGCGTACCCCTCCAGCGCGCCCCCTTGCCACGCCCCCTTGCCACGCCCCCTTGCGACGCCCCCTTGCGAGCCCCTGGCGCACCCCCTCGGAACCCCCTCCCGCGGCCCATTCCCCCGGCGCACGCCCTTGGCGCGCGCATTCCTGGCGCGCCCTTCTGGCACGTCCCACCGAAAGCGCGAGGCCCGAGGAAGGGGATGGAATTCGCAGCGTTGCCATCGGAACTGCGCGCCCTGAGCGTCGGACACCTGCCCCAGGCACGGAGGTCTCAGGGGGTGTAGTGCGCGAGCCCCAGGAAAGGTTCTCAGAGGAGGAGGAACTGGAGGAGAATAGGCCCAACCTTGCGGAAGTCGATTAATGGAGAGGAAGCGTGCTGCCAAATTATTTCCAGACGTGTTTAAACATGCTTGAAACATGACTTTAAGATGTAAGACATGCTTAAAGCATTTCCAGAACATGTTTTACACATTTAAACACATTTGTAGTTCAATGATCGTCCACCTCCTCCTCCTCCTCCTCCTCCTCCTCCTCCCTCCTCCTCCTCCTCCTCCCCTCCCCCTCCCCCTCCCCTCCCCCTCCCCCTCCCCCTCCCCCTCCCCCTCCCTGTGGTGCACGTGGTCATGGCATCCGCACGCCTAACCTGACCCCAGCCGTGCGCAAACGCCGGCCGAGAGCCGCCCAGGAAGCACCCCCCCCCCCCTGCTCGGCGCGGTGCCCCCGACCGGGCGAGTGGGCCCCCCGGCGCGGTGCCGACCCGGGCGCCGCCGGGGCTCCCAACGAGAATGGCCAGGAGGAAAAGAAACACACAGACACAATTACTCCTCGATTTCCCAGAAAATATGGGAAAATATGGGAAGTGGGGGGGAAGACAAAACCCTCCAAAATATGGGAAAATATGGGGAATCTTTTTATTTGTGTGTATTTATTTGTGTGTCCTGGGGCCCCTTCAAATGGCCACGGCTGCGGCGAGGACAAGAAGTTCGGTAACAAATCGTGGCAGCCCGGTATACTTTCGCAAGGCCGTCTTTTGGAGAGTGCATCCGCGTCGAGAGTAGCGTCGGGTAATCGATGGGACGGGCCTCGGAAGAAAATAGCGAACACTCATGCCACATTCGTCAGTCAACGCCTCCCCCTCCCCCCAATGTTCAAAGTTGGCGGTGGGTCTGATGAGTTGCACCTCGACCGCAGTCTCCCCCGCGCGTACCAAATTTGTCTTCGGGGCAGGGGGGGTGTTTACTAATTGTTTCCCTGGGACAACGCCGATTTTGACGCCGATTCGCGTCAATTGGCGTCGAATTGGCGTCGACTGGCGCCGATTACCGTCGACTCGCGAGAGCCAACAAGATGGTATGGGAAGTCCCCGTGATTTGCCACCGGAAACGAGTCGTCCTCGTCGTAACCCTCCCCCCCCGTCCTGGCCCGCCGAGGGGCCTCGCTCCCTCTCGAAGGCCCCCCGTGGCAGGACCTGCGGCCGCGCCCCCACCACGCGAGTCCGCGCCTCTCCGAGAGGCGCAGAAGTTCCAGAAGGCCATCGTCGGCATGTCCCTGGACGACATCAAAAAGAAAAAGGCCCAGAAGCCCGAGCTGCGCCAGCAGGCGTGTCCTGAGAGGGGCCTCCCGCGGCGGCAGCGCCGCGCGCGTGTCGGCCGCCCTCCTCCTGCCCGCTGCCCCCGCACCGCCCTCCCCCTCCTGCGTTCCCGCTGCGAGCTGCGAGCTGAGGACCGTTCTGGCCCGTCTGAGCCTGGAACCCTCGACCCCCCAGCCCCGCAGACGTTAGCGGGTTGGGGGGCATACGCGTGGGCCGCAGCGCTCCCGCTTCCGCTCCTCCCGCTCCTCCTGGTGCCGCTCGAGAAAGCTCGGCGTGCCTTTGGAGGCCAAGTCCGGCCTCAAAGCGGGCTGCGTGTGTTTTTCCCAATCATCCTGTGGTGTTGGGTCCTCGTTTTGAAGAGACAGGGCCCCGCCTCTCACTCCTCATCCTCTCCTCACCCCCCTCCTCCCTCCCATCACCACCACCACCACCACCACCACCACCATCATCATCATCATCATCATCATCATCATCATCATCATCATCATCATCATCATCATCATCATCATCATCATCATCATCATCATCATCATCATCATCATCATCATCATCATCATCATCATCATCAATCATCATCACCATCATCATAATCATCATCATCATCATCATCATCATCATCATCATCATCATCATCATCATCATCATCATCATCATCATCGGCATCATCATCATCATCATCATCATCATCGTCATCATCATCATCATCATCATCATCATCATCATCGTCATCATCATCATCGCCGTCGTCGTCATCATCATCGTGATCGTCATCTTCGATAGTGATCGTGATCGTCGTCATCACCATCGTCCTCATCATCGTCACCATCATCGCCATCAGCTTCGGCATCAGCTTCGGCACGCCCCTCACAAGTTTCGTGGCCCCATAGAGAGCTCCATCTAAGGTCCCCTTGGCGCAGTTCGCATGGCGCCGCCGCCCCATTTCGGCACACCCCTCACACGTTTCGTGGCCCCACAGGGAGCTCCGTCTACGTCCTAGTGGCGCGCTGCGCTCTGCCCGGCGCCTCGCTCGCCCGTCGTCGCTATGCCCAGGAGCCAGAGCCTTGCCCGCAATCAGCCAGCCGGCTAGCTCTGTGTGCTCCGCGCAGCGGACGACCCGCGCGCGTCGCTGGGACCCCTCCGCGGCGACCTGCGCGCGTCGCGGGGACTCCGCGCTGCGCTGCGTCCGCGGCCTTGGACTTTGGTGTGCGCGGGCGAAGAGGGAGGAGAAGAAGAGAAGGAAGCGGGCGCTATCCTCGTGAGGGGCGTGCCGACATGGGCGTCGCGGCGTGCGGGCGCTGCCATCGGCGCTTCTTGGGGGGGGGCTCCTTGCGGCGGCCACGTTCAGTGTTACAAGTACTCAGGGCCAGTCATACTCAAACCGTTCACATTCTTTTGCAATTACTCTGGGGTTAGTCATGCTCGCATTCATGCACATAGACTCGCTCGCGCGCAAACTCATCCACAAACAGACGCAGTGGCGCTTAGACTCACCCGCGCTCAGGCACTCGTACTCAGAACTATCATCCTCGTTCGCGTTGTGCACCCCCGCCGCACATGTCGGCACGCTCTTCATTCGGTTCGTGGCCCCATAGGGAGCGCCACCCAGGAATATATGATCCAGGGTCGAGGGTTCACGGGCCCCCCCCCCCCAGATGGTATGGTCCCAGGATTCCTCGGGCCCCCCCCCCCCAGATGGTATGGTCCCAGAGACGACGACGACGACGACGACGACGACGACGACGACGACGGCGACGACGACGACGACGACGACGACGACGACGACGACGACGACGACGACGACGACGACGACGACGACGACGACGACGACGACCACACGACGACGACGACGACGACGACGACGACGACGCCGCCGCCGCCGCCGCCGCCGCCGCCGCCGACGCCGACGACGACGACGACGACGCGACGACGACGACGACGACGACGACGACGACGACGACGACGACGACGACCGACGACGACGGCCGACGACGACCGACGACGACGACGACGACCGACGACGACGACGACGACTTACGACTTACGACTTACGACTTACGACCTACGACTTACGACTTACGACTTACGGTTTACGACTTACGACTTACGGTTTACGACTTACGACGTACGACTTACGACTTACGTCTTACGACTTACGACTCACGACTTATTACGACTTACGACTTACGATTTACGACTTACGGTTTACGACTTACGACTTACGACTTACGACTTACGACTTTCGACTTACGACTACGGCGACGACGACGACGACGACGACGGCGACCACGACCACGACGACGACGACGACGGCTGCGGCGGCGACGACGCCGGCCGCGGCGGCGGCGACGACGTCGATGACGACGATGACGACGACGAGGACGACGAGGACGACGAGGACGACGAGGACGACGAGGACGACGAGGACGACGAGGACGACGAGGACGACGACGACGACGACGACGACGAGGACGACGACGACGACGACCTGTGAACCACCACAGCACCACACCACATCCACAGGGGGGGGGAGGGGGGCACCGCAGCGCAGCACCACGCCACGCGCATTTCTGAACCACCACAGCACCACACCACATCCACAGGGGGGGTTGGGCACCGCAGCGCAGCACCACGCCACGCCCACAGGGGGGGCGGGGGGGACCATCGCGCGCGGGGGGGGGCCCAATGGCATCAGCATTGGGGGGGGGGGGCACTTCTGAACCACCACAGCCCTGGACCATATATGATCCAGGGCTTGGGCCCCCCCCCCCAAATGCTGATGCCATTGGGCCCCCCCCCCCCCCCGCGCGATGGTCCCCCCCGCCCCCCCCTGTGGGCGTGGCGTGGTGCTGCGCTGCGGTGCCCCCCCCCCCCCCTGTGGATGTGGTGTGGTGCTGTGGTGGTTCAGAGGTGGGCGTGGCGTGGTGCTGCGCTGCGGTGCCCCCCTCCCCCCCCTGTGGATGTGGTGTGGTGCTGTGGTGGTTCAGAGGTCGTCGTCGTCGTCGTCGTCGTCGTCGTCGTCTCGTCGTCGTCGTCCTCGTCGTCGTCGTCGTCATCGTCGTCGTCGTCGTCGTCGTCGTCGCCGTCGTCATCGTCGTCATCGTCGTCGTCGCCGTCGTCATCGTCGTCATCGGCGTCGCCGCCGCCGCCGGCGTCGTCGCCGCCGCAGCCGTCGTCGGCGTCGTGGTCGTCGTCGTCGTCGTCGTCGTCGTCGTCGTCGTCGTCGTCGTCGTAGTCGTCGCCGTCGTCGTCGTCGTCGTCGTCGTCGTCGTCGTCGTCGTCGTCGTAGTCGTCGTCGTCGTCGTCCGTCGTCGTCGTCGTCGTCGTCGTCGTCGTCGTTTCTGGGACCATACCATCTGGGGGGGGGGGCCCGAGGAATCCTGGGACCATACCATCTGGGGGGGGGGGGGGGGGGGCCGTGGGCCTGGAGCCCGGGACCATATATCCACAATTGCGGTATTCACAATTACGTATGGTTGGATCCTTCGCCAGGCTAATTACGGGTCGAGGTCGATGTCGACATGCATGCAGTACGCTCAGAAACCGATTTCGGCTTCCACGCATGCATCAATTCTCTGCTCCTCGAGCCTTCTGACCAGTAGACCGATTCGGCAGAGATCCGTAGTTCGATACAGTCGCGAAGGAAGCGATCCCCATACACCAGCCTCCTCGTCTGCCTTCTGTTGCTGATCCCGCTCGCTCCCATCCTCCTCATCATCTTCCCGATCTTTCTCATTCTCGCTTTCCCCCTCCCCCTTCCTTTTTGATTCATGATTAATATATGTGTGCGTGTGTATATATATAGAGAGGTATGTATGCATGCATGTATGTATGTATGTATGTATGTATGTATGTATGTATGTATGTACGTATGTATGTATGTATGTATGTATGTATGTATGTATGTATGTATATATATATATATATCCATCCGCTGGCCCTCTTGTGGGGCCACCAGGCTGTAGGCCGAAGACTCGCAGTTTCCTGTACCAGTTGGAGCTTCCAGTTTTCACTGTTACAGTTTTGTTTCTTGTTGCTTACTGTTCCTTGTTGATGGAACGCGCGAGGGGGGAGCCCAAAACGGGAATTCTTACCACGCCCTGAGCGTGTGTTCTGAATTGCTGGGGTGGGTAAACAATGACATCCCTCACGCAGATCGGCGGGTTCAGGGTCCAAAAACACAGGGGGCTTGCCACATTTCTAAAATTCGGTGGCACCCCTCACGCAGATCGGCGGGGTCAGGGTCCAGAAACACAGGGGATTTGCCACATTTCTAAAATTCGGTGGCCCCCCTCAAGCAGATCGGCGGGGTCAGGGTCCAAAAACAGAGAAGTTTGCCACATTTTTGAAATTCGTTGGCACCACTCACGCAAATTGGCGGGGTCAGGGTACAAAAACATGGGATTTGCCACATTTGTAAAATTCGGTGGCACCCCTCACGCAGATCGGCAGGGTCAGGGTCCAAAAACAACGGGATTTGCCACATTTTTAGAATTCGGCTGCACCCCTCACGCAGATTGGCAGGGTCAGGGTCCAAAAACAAAATGGATTTGCCACATTTCTGAAATTCGGCGGCACCCTTCACGCAGATCCGTAGGGGCAGGGTCGAAAAACAAACAGGTCCCGACACTGCTTCACGGCGGCGCCCAGACCTCATGATTTAGCTCTTGCATCTCCCATTATCCGAGACAGGGGGCCGGCGGCATGGGGCGAAGCCCTTACGGATATATATATATTATACATATAATATATATATATATATATATATATATATATATATATATCACATATGTGCCTTCTTCCTCGCCCAATTCCTCTTCGTCGACCTCGGCTGCTTCCTCCTCCTTGTCCTTGTCCTTGTCCTTTCCTTCTCCCCTCCTTTTCTCCCTCCCTTCCCACCCTCCATCCATCCAGCCATCCGACTATGGTTCTTCTGTCAATGCGCGGCCTCAGCGTCCGATCCCTTCCATTCTTTACGTATAGCTATAAATGTCTGTCTGTCTGTTTGTTTGTCTGCCTGTCTGTCTGTCTGTCTGTCTGTATGTATGTATGTATGTATGTCTGTACGTATGTCTGCATACATTTATTCACATGTATGTATGTAATTATGCATGTATGTATGTATGTATGTATGTATGTATGTATGTATGTATGTATGTATGTATGTATGTATGTATGTATGTATGTATATAGGTATATATGCATGCATGTATGTATGCATGGGTGTATGTATGCATGTATGCATGCATGTATGCATGTATGTATGTTTGCATGTATGCATGTATGCATGCATGTATGTATATATGTATGCATACATGTATGTATGTATATATATATATATATATATATATATATATATATCCACATTTGTATATATATATATATATATATATATATATTTATATGTACATTTTGATATACATATATACCTTATTTATAGATATCGAGAGCGCTGGCGGCGCATCACCGGCCGCTCCCTGGGAGTTTGACCATCTGGTCGGTAGTCTATTGGAGGCAGTTTTGAAGCTTCTTTGGGGGCTCTTGGGCGCCGTTCGGGGTCCTTTGGGGCCTCTGTTGGGCCTCCTAGGGGCTTCTTTGTGGCCTGCTGGCGCTCTGGGAGGTCCCGTTTGGGCAGAAAGCTGGAAATGTAATTTCGAGTTCTGGCTGTAGGGCCCTTTTGGGGCCGTCATGGGCCGTCTTCGGTGCGTCTTGGGCCTTCTTGGGACCGTGTTGGCACGTCTTGGGGCCGTCTTGGGTCTCTGTTGTGGGGTCGTCTTGGGGCCCTTGGGATTTCTTGAAAGCTTTGACTTGGGCGGGTCTGCGAGTGACCGCCGACAGAGTGGAGGCCCAGAGGAGGGACTTCAGGGAGATTTTTACCAGGCCCAGGCGAATCCTACCAGGCACTTTGTCAGAGTGGTCTCGCACGGCCCAAACCGCAGGTCGGGAGCGGCCGGATCTTAAGACCGTCGCCCTCTGCCGCCAGCCCCTCTAGTACTAGTGCGGGCGGCTTCGCGGGGGTTGTCCTTGGGGCCTCTTGGGGGCCTTATGGGGGTCTCCTTGGGGCCTCTTTGAAACAATATTTTGGGTCTCTCGGGGGTCTTTTTGGGGCCTTTTGGGGGCCTCTTGGGGCCTCTGGTGACCTTTTTGTGGGCTCCTGGGGCCTTCCTGGGCGGAAAGGTAGAGTTTTCCGTTCGTGGGCTCACTCTTGGGCCTCTCTTGGGACCGTCTGGGGCGTCTCCGGGACCGTTTTGGGGCTCTCTTCGGCCTTCTTGGGGCCGTCTTGGGGGCCTCTTGGGCCGTCATTCATAGGGGGCTTCTAGGGCCATCGTGGGGCGATTTTGCGAATCTCTTGGTCCGTCTCGGAGTGTCGGAAAGCCGAAAAGGCGATAAGGCCAAAAACTTTAAAAACGTTGAATATTTGATTTTTGCTTCGTGGGGCCCTCTTGGAGGCCTCTTGGGCCGTCTTGGGAGCATCTTGGGCTGTCTTGGGGCCATCGTGGGACATCTTGGAGACATCTTGGGCAGTCTTGGCCTCCTGAGGCTCTCTTCGAAGCCTCGTCGGGCAATCTTGGAGGCCTCTCGGGCCGTTCTGGCCGTGCGGTGGCGTCACCATGAGAATCCTGGGGTGGCCTGGAGCAGACTGGATTTGAGGTTCACCTCCCCCGTTGGCTGTTCGGTGGCGCGGCGGGGCCCCTTAGCAGACAGTAAACGGGAGGCAGGAAAAAGGACTGGAGAGACAAAAGGCCAACCAACAAATGACAACACTTAACACATGACAGAAGACCGCACACACCTCCGCAGCCTTGCGTCCCTGGAGGGTGCTAGCGGATATACATATATACATATTTATATATATATATATTTATGAACAGATATGTATGTATATATGACTATATATATATGTATTCATATATATATATATATATATATTCATATATACATATGTACATATGTATACATATAGACATATGTGTGTATACATACATATGCGTGTGTATATATATATATATATATTTAAGCATGACACCATATCTGTTTCCTAGTTTTTTTCCCGATCCAGGTCCGTTTGCGATGGTCCCAGGGCCCGGGGATCGGCCCTGGAGGACGACACCGAGATCGCCCAGAGCGAAGAAACAGATCCTTGGAGATCCGGGCCTCTCTCCCCCCCCTCTGCTTGCGCCTCCTCCTCTCGTCCTCCCCGCGCGCAGGCCAAGGAGCAGGCGGCGAAGGAGGCGAAGGCCCGCCAGCAGACGGCGAAGCCCAAGGCCAAGGCCGCCTCGGCGCGCGGCGGGTCTCGCCCGTCCCTCTTCCGCCTTCCCCCCTCCCTCTCCTCCCTTCCCTCCCCAGTTTCCCTTGCCCCCCCTCCTCCCTCATCCCGTCCCCCCCCCACCGTCCCCCCTCCTCCCTCCTCCCTCTTCCCTCCGGCTCCAATGTTGCAGAGCTCCCTCTCTGATGGTGCAGCACGCGACGACGCGGTCATTTTGGGGACCTGGGTCCGCAAGGCGCTAGGACACCCGGCGGCGGATGAAGACGAAACATCCACTCCATGGAAAGGGATGGATGGGAGGGGTAGGACGTCAGATATGGCGCGTGCGCACCTAATTAGCTTGCCCTTTCCCCCTCTCCCCCTCCCCCTCCCCTTCGGTGGAGTTATAGTAAAGGCACCAGAATCCCATTGGAAGCGCAACGGAGAAAAGGCAGCACACCCTGAAAACCATAAAGGAGTTTGTAGGATTGGTCCTCTCGAGGGTATCCTAGGGAGGCTCCAAGGCGACTTGGAACCGTCTTGGGGTGGTTTTTGGGCCTCTTGGAAGCATTGGCCGTCTCGAGCCATACTAGCTTTGAGGGAAGATCTAGGGGAGGCAGGGTTCAGTCGCTGCCTTTACGGCTAAAGCCGTGCAGCGCCTGTTTGCCTTCATACATGGTCCATGCATTGAGCCATACAACCAGCTACAGCGGTTGATACTGATATGAATACAAAGATCGCCATCCAGCGGTCTCTTGCCATCCAGTGTTGCCACCACAATATGATGGGGGCTCTTGTTTCACATAATCGCCGACATTGATTCTTCAACTTGGTAGCCGAGCTGTCGCTTCATCGCGTGGACCCCCCTTGGGGTTCACGGGCCACCTTTCCGTAAGACAATTTACATATGATTCTGCCCCATCGTCCATCCCGAATATGAATTCATACCATCCCAGGCAGGCGCGTATCGGTTTCGCATGTCGCTTACTACAGAAAGACTCACTTGCACAACAATGGGACGAAGTGCATGTGCGCGTGTCGTCGCGCGCGCATGCCGAAATCTTTCAAACACCGTAGATTTCGTAAGGATTTCAAGCTGCCATGAAACCATATAGAATAATCACGTGTTTTCGCAGCGAGGATTTTCCAAAAAAGCCTGCGCCCGCGCTCTTGCGAATTCTTAAGAAAATCATCGAGTTTTTAACGTTTTAATAAAGTGCTACCAAACGGGCTTTTCGCGCGCGCGTGTCGAAATCGCTCGAATGCCCTTGCGCGCGTATCGTCGCACTAATCCCTCGCAGTAGATGTGAAGATGCGCACGTGCGCGTGTCGTCGCGGCGCATGCCGAAATCTTTCAAAACCCCTGCGTGCCGCAAGGATGTCAACAACAAGTGTTCCGAAAACATATAACAGCACATGGTTTTGCAACATTAGTTTTCAAACCAAGCCTTTGTTCGCGGTCTTGCGGATCTTCACGAAAGCGAGTTTTTTTTTTTTTTTTTGTTTGTTTTTTTTTTTGTTTTGTTTTTTTTGTTGTTTTTTCACCATTGCCACCACATTCTACCAAACGGGCCTCTCGCGCCGCATGTCGAACTCATTCGAATGCCCTTGCGCGCGTGCGGGGGGGGGGGTCGATGCTTGTTAAATAATACCACGCGGGCTAGTCGCGCGCGTCGGCCGCGCGCGCATGTCGAACTTTTCAAAAACCGTCTCTTCGCCGAAGCGAGGACATCGTCATAGTTATCGGCGAACGTGATCAACATCGGCGCCGTCATTGGCTTTGGCGTCGTCATCGCCACCGTCGTCACCATCATCGCTATTCGCATGATCGTGTCTACTATTGTCGGGGTAGCCATGATTCCGCGCCCGCCAGAGTCACCGACTCGCACAGAAGTGCCCGCTGGGAAGTGCCCAGCGGTTAGCGCCACCGCGGCCGCGTCGGTCGCGCCAAACTAGCTGGCCGTTGTGTGCGCGAGCATGTGCGGGTTTGCGCGGCCGCAGATATGCACCAGCCAACGGCAAGCGCATCGCAATCGCCGCCGCATTGGTCTTGCAAACCAAGTTGCGGGTGGATGGGTGTACTGTTTACAAGAGCGTGGAATTGGTCAACTCATTTGTAAAAAAAAAACCAGTTGCACAACATCGATTTCATTATATCGTTCAACATATCCTGCACCGCAGAAGACACCACATAGATGATTCTATATAGACTGCACAATACGTGGTGCTAGAAACATAGTGTTTGGGGTCCGCCCGGGCCAATTTTTGATAGGGCCCCAATCCGTCCAACGGAAATGTTGGAGCGACCCAAATCGCTTCTCAAGCTTGCCAGTAGCGTTTGTCTCATGCCGATCTGGTACAATGTTCGAAAGGATCCACATCAATAGTTTCTGGTTTTATGCCCCCCATGACTACTGTACTTTCCCTGGCTCGATGTAGCGACGCATTCTTTCGGCGGTGCGCATGCCATTTGCATTGCAGATGTTGGCCAGAATCATCGACGAACGTATCAGATTCAGGCTGGCCTCGCGCCCCGCGCCGTCATCACACATCGAAGGCAGTGTGCTCGCTTTCAAGCTGGCTATTGGATCTCTCGCCGCTCCCTCCGTCTCCGACGTTGACGGGGCATGTCGGGGGGGGGGCGGCAGGGTTCATCCTTTGCTTTTGCGGCCCAAGCCACACGCTGCTCATTCGCCCTCATGCGCGCTCCGCGTGCTGAAATATGCGGTCGGCCACAGCGGTGGATACTGCGAGTGATGCAAGGATCGCCATCCGTGAGTGTTTTGCCCACCCATCGTTGCCACCACAACCTGATGGATCTTCTTATCTCATATATGCGTCGAAATTGATTATTCCAAGTATTGCGCTTTGTTGGGCCATGTTGGAGCCCATCTAGGGATATCGTAGGCCATCCTGGAACAATTTTTTCCATCCTGGACGCTCTAACGCGTCTCGCCACCCACTCCCGTCTGTGCCCCGGGGAGTGATCTCCCCTAACCGCGAGACCCTCCAGTTAATCCGTGAGACGGCCTTGGCGTGGGCCTCCCTCCAAAATGGCCCGGGACGCCCCCGAGGTGGTACCCGGGAGGCCAGACAAGAGAAGACGAGACCAGCCAAGGCGAAATGTGAAGACGAAACCAGACAAGAAAAGACGAGGCCAGACAGGAAAAGACGAGACCAGCCAGTCATTGTAAGACTTGGCAAGACACGCCGAGACACGCCGAGACGATTTGCAAGTGGGCCCAGCACGGCGCTGATGCGCATCAGGAGGCCGCTGAGAGGCCTGAATCTGTCAACAGCCTATGGGAATTACGATGTTGGTGGCCTTTCGCCTTTTCTCACCCGGATGATTCCTCAGGCTTCAAGGCGGCTTCAAATGCCCCCCCTCGCGTAGAGCGCCAAGTGGGTCCAGAAGGGGCTCAAGAAGGCCCTCGAGGGCTCCAGAATGGTCCCCAAGAGGGCCTCACACCGCCTCGAATTTCGACGATGCCAACAGAAGCCAACACCACTGACGGCAAAACTGCTTCAAGAGACCCCAAACATCCGTGCAATAACCTTGCAAGAAACCATTCAGGGGCCTGCAAGGAGTTCCCAAGAGGCCCCCAAAGGAACCCAAGAAGGCCTCCGGGAACCATGGTTAGGCGGGGTGTGGAGTCCTCGGCGCGGGGTAGGGGGGCACGACGGGAATAATCGGCTTGTAGGAACGAAGTCCTTGGTCCATGTATCTTGGCGAGGATAAAAAGTCGGCCGCACGTCATCTGTGTAATTGTGGTAATTTTGTATCCGAATGTTCGCGGTGCTACGGCGAGGGCGATATGTTGGAAACCAATTCCCCTCTATCCGCATCTGTTGGGGGCTTTGAAGAAGAATGGGGAGCGGCGCCAAGGCAACAACCAAACTCTGAAACCCAGCCACCGTCAGCTCGTGCAGTTGGCGATAAAACTTCAAGCTTCGCCGCAGTCACGTACATAATGGGATCAAGTCTCACACGAAACACAGGTCAGGTAGCACGCCGAGGATGAATTATGCATCTTCTACAAGCAGGGCCTGCACTTCAGGATTCTTACTTCTCTTGTCAGGCAACTGTGCCCCGATGTCGGTCCGGCCGGCTGGTGCCGCTCGTCGCCGCCGCCGTGCGTTGCCGCCAATTTTCAAGCAGTGGCGAAGCGTCCTGGCTCGCCTATAGCCCTACCAAACACTGTTCTAAGAACCTTTTTTTGTGGTTTCCACGAAATGTTCTTATAACATTTTTGGCGGAGTCTGTCTTGTTTAGTCACATCGGGTGTATGTTCTAAGAACATTGTTTGGGTCATATAACATTTTTGGGTTCTAAGGAGGATAATGAGGAGGCGGGGAATGACGAGGAGGAGGAGGAGGAGGAGGAGGAAGAGGAGGAGGAGGAGGAGGAGGATGAGGATGAGGACGACGGATTTTGCAGGGGGGGGGGAACGGAGACCCACCGAACCAGGCGGCCGCCCCGAAGAGCAAGGCAGCCCAGGTTCCGAAGGGCAAGGACATGAAGGCCCTCTCCGCCGCTGCGCTCTCGGGTGGGAGGGGGGGGGGGGGGAGCTGCTCTCCACTTCCATTCGGCGGCGCGCCGCCACTTTATCTGCCTTCCACCTCCAGGGGAGGAGGGGGGGGGTGCAGGTGGATGTGGAAGTGGCGTAGGATGGTAATGGTGATGGTGATGATTCTGATGATAATGATGATTGTGGTGATGGTGTATATGATGGTGAATGTGATGATGGTGGTGATTATGTTACTGGTGATCCTGATTATGCTTTTTGTGTGAGCTTAATGTTTGTGTTGTTGATGGCGATATGGATGATGATCGGAACGTTGACGGTGAGGATGAGGATGATGATGACGATGGTGATGATGAGGAGGAGGAGGTGGAGGAGGAGGAAGAGGGATGATGTCTCTGCTGATGTCTTCTGCCATTCTTGGCGGTTTTCCAGATGTCCCTCAGAGATCTTCCGGGGTAGCTGTGGGGGTTCATCGGGGGACGGGGTGTTCGAGGAGGACCACGAAATCATGTGGGCTGGTCCCCCCCCTGGAGTGGTCCAGTGCGTCCGCACGTGCAGCTGGGCAACGCACTGTTGCGGCCGGTCAGGAGCGCTCGAGATAAGCTGCCGAGGCCTGCAGGCTCCGCTGGCCGACGCCCCGGACCAACCAGGGAGGGAGGGCGGGGCAGCTGGTGACGCGAGCCAGGAGCTCTCGGCTCGCAGACGAAGGCTCGTCCTGCTCAGCGCCCTCCTGGGGAGGGGAGGGGGCGGGGGGGGCAGAAGGAAGGGGGAGGGGAGGGCGGAGGAGGAAGAGGACGAGGACGACGAGGAGGGCGAGGACGAGGAGGACGAGGAGGACGAGGAGAACGACGACGACGAAGAGGACGAAGAGGACGAAGAGCGCCCTGGTCGCCTCATGGGGCCCAACTTCCTCCACCCTTGGGCGTGCTGGGGCCTCCAGGGGTCCTCCGACCTTCTGGGAAGCAGGCAACCCAACCCAGCCCCCGTGGGCCATGCCGGGGCCGTCTGGGGATCCCTTCGGGCACACACCGAAGCCAGCCACCCTGCGCTCCCTTCGCCGGGCCCTCGGGCCCTTCACGGACGATGAGGAGTCCTTCGCCTCGTCCGCCTCTGGCCTCCTCCGCTGATTCTTCGCCCTCCGCCCCCTGGGGGTCCTGGGGAGGAAGATTCCGGGCAGGCTGCGTCCTTGTCGCCATGGATGGGTCCGGGGGTTCGTCGCTACTGGCCGTTTTGCCCCTCGCCCGAGTCCGAGGCGGGATATCAAATATCGGAATTCGCTCTCGAGGGGGCTGTTGCGCCTTCCTTGGACCTTCCGCCGCCCCCCCCCTTGCCCGCCTCCCCCCCGGCTCCCTTCCTTCTCCGCGTCCTTTCTCCTCCGCGCGGCTGAGGAGGAGGAGGAATAGGAGTAGAATATGTGAGGGGGAACATCAGCATTAGGAGGCGGTGGTGGTGGTGGAGGAGGAGGAGGAGAAGGTACATCTTATTTGGCAGTGATGACCAATGCGTCACTGGTCAAGAGCTCGTTGCTGTATGCGGGCAGTTGCGAGTATGCATCAGGTGGGCATATTACACAGCTCAGGGATTCTGAAACAAGTATGCCCACCCAGGAATAGGAGGCGCAGGGAGGAGGAGGAGGAGGAGGAGGAGGAGGAGGAGGAGGAGGAGGAGGAGGAGGAGGAGGAGGAGGGGGAGGAGGAGGAAGATGAATACTAGGAAGGTGAGAGGAACAATACGAGGATAATGAAGGTCGACCGCCGTGCCCTTGACCGCCTGGTGGCGTCATCGGCCGTCGCACGTGCTGCCCCGTCCGAGTCGCTCTCCGATTGAGTGAGCGAGCCCGAGTGCTCTGGAGGCCGGGAACCAGAACAAGAGCAAGGCCCCGAAGATGCCGGGCAAGATGTGATCGAGGAGCCCGCTGCTTCCAGCGCCCGTCCTCTCTCTGATGTGGCCGGGTGGGTCCGCGCCTGCTCTCAGCCAGCAGCAAGCTTGTACGAATATGAGCGGGCAGAGGGCGGGCGAAGAGTGCTGCTGCTGCTGATGCGGAGGAGGAGGAGGAGGAGGAGGATGAGGAGGAGGAGGAGGAGGAGGAGGAGGAGGAGGAGGAGGAGGAGGAGGAGGCCCCTGCCAGCGTGCATGGGCGCAGGCACTTGCATTTCATTCCTCCTCTCCTCTATCTCCTCCGTGGCTATGTGTCCATCCAGCTTTCGCGCCGAAGATCGCTGGAAACCGCCAAAGGCCGCCAAAGACCGCCAGATACCGCCGAAGACCGTTAGAAGAACGCCGAAGACCGCCGACAACCGCCAAAAACCGTCCAAAGACCGCCAAAGACCGCCGAACACTGCACAGGAGCGATTGGTAACAAGGTTTTCGTCCTCCCCCTCGGCGGCACAGGCCGCCAGGGGAGGAGGGCAGCGTCTGGTACCGACCCTCGTGCCCGCAGCTTCGAGGCTTCGAGGCTTCGAGGAGGATGAGGAGGAGAAGCAAGAGGAGGAGGAGGAGGGGGAGGAGGGGGAGGAGGAGGAGGAGGAGGAGGAGGAGGAGGCGGAGCAGGAGGAGCAGTAGTTTAGGCCTTCTATGGTGTCGGAGGATTGTGTTGCATCGTCGATGCATTTGCTCGATGCGGTGCCCGAATTTCTCCACGCCGACGTCGCCGATGTGTCGCCGACGTCGGCGATGCATCGCCGGTGCGGTGCAATTCTTCGACCCCATCTACTCGAACCCCATTCGGGCGGCCTCTAGGGAGGATAGAGAGCGATCAGGCGGGGCCAGATCAGAGCTCCACGGAAGTCGCAACACAGGGCACACCCGCAGACGGGTGTTTCCGGGGAGGGGCGCGGGGAGTTGCCAGGGGAGTGGTTGCGCAGGCGCGCGCGCCTCGCCTTTCTGCCCTCGCCCGCTCGTGGCGCTCTCGGAGGCCACCTCGAGCCCCGCCCCAGGCCGTGAGGAGGGCTACTGGCACGGCAGGGTTGGGGGGCGAAGCGAGCGTGAGGCGAGTGTAGAGGGAGGGTAGGACGATGCACATTTTGTCACGTCTGTCAGCGCCGCCTCCTGACGCGCCGCCTGCCGGGCAGGCGCCCGCGCGCCCGCGCTCCCGGGACCTCTCGGCGGCGGGCGTTTCGCTGCTCAGGGCCGGAGTCGAGAAGACCGTGGCGGCGTTCCAGGCAAGAGTGGGCGCAGATGCCGACGGGGCTGCGGACCTTCGACGCTTCTTGCAGTTGCCGAACGTGTCCAAGTGCCGCCTCTGGAAGAAGGAGTTCGGCGCGTACCCCCCGCGGGGGGTGGTGTCGCGCATCGCGCGGCGCGCCGGGGTTCAGGTGGACTCGTCCACGAGCTTTCGCGGGCGCGCCTCCCCCATGGAGTTCAAGGCAGAAGTCCGCAGGCCGCCGCTCCACCCGCAGGCGTCGGGGAATTATCCGTGACAGGAAGCAGCCCGAGCACGTCCGCGGCCATCGCAGCGTCTGGGCCGTCAAGGTCCGAGCGCATTACCGCCGCCTTCTGAAGCCGCTCAGGGTTGAAGGCCTGCGGGCCTGGCAGTCGGTGGCGCCGGCGATCCGCTCCGCGGGCGTGCCCGTTCAGTCGGGCAATGTGCCCGTGGGGCGTTTGTGGGAGTGTCTCAAAGGGGTGCTCCCGCGAGGCGCCCGCGCAGTGTCGCTTCGCTGGTTCGCCAGCTCGCTTTCTTGAGTTTCAATTACTGGCACTGCGGGACGGGGTGCCTGCCCGCGTGGGCAGAGCGGGACTCCCTCCTGGTCCAGCGCTTGGAGACCGTCGTCGTACTCGGAGTTGAGCTCGACGAGACGGAAGGCGCACCCCTCGACCATCTCAGGCATCTGCTCGCACCTGTCCTTTGACCAGGCACGCCATCGCGCGGGCGCCTGCCGCCGCCCGCGCGGGCCCCGGCTGGCTTGCGCAGACATTATTCTGCCGTTGGCTTGGATGTCTTTTTGGGCTAGGGCGCGCCCTGCGAGCGGGTAGCTCTGGCCCGCGGGGCGCGCAATTCGAGGAACGGTGTGCATCTCTGCGACGTGCGGGGCAGGTCGCAGAGAGCTCTTGCAGCTCTGCATCCGCGAACAGAGCGCGCAGAGACCGAAAATGCCCGCGCCGGGGTGGTCGCAGTCGCTAGCGCCGTCGCCGAAACAGGGCGGCGATGACGACGACTATGGCGGTAATCGAAAATAGAAAGCAGGAGGGGGGTACAGGAGCCGGAGGGGGAGGATGAGGGTAAGGAGAAACAGAGAAAGAAAGAGAAACCAATCTCCGGGACGAGCTTTGCGATTCAAGCAAAACCCATAGGGAAATCCCGTGCGCACCCCTGAATTGCTCCAAACACAATACGTTTTCACGCATTTACTTGCGACGAGATCATGCGCCCCCGTGCGCGCGGAAGTATCGGGAAGTGGTCGGTCAAGGAAAGTAGGAACAACATTATGGGTTTACGAAGAAAGAGGGGGTTACGCACGGGAAAACACAGTGCGTTTTCACGCACCCGCGTGCGTGCACAACCCTTCGGGAGTACACCCGGGTAAAGCAACGCCGGCTCTCGCGGCGATAAGTCTTCGACCGCGTTCGAAGGAGTTGGGCGCTTGCTCGAGGCGGACAAGGGGAAACATTGGAGGGGTGGGGCGGAGGGGGAGAGGCGGAGAGGGAGATAACAACAGTGCGTCGCCGAAACAGGGCGGCGATGACGACGACTATGGCGGTAATCGGAAGTAGAAGGCAGGAGGGGGGTACGGGAGCGGGAGGGGGAGGAGGAGGGTAAGGAGAAGAAGAAAAAGAAGGAAAAACCAAACTCTGGGACGAGCCGTGCGATTCAAGCAAAAACCATAGGGAAATCCCGTGCGCACCCCTGAATTGCTCCAGACACAATACGTTTTCACGCATTTACTTGCGACGAGATCATGCGCCCCCGTGCGCGCGGAAGTATCGGGAAGTGGTCGGCCAAGGAAAGTAGGAACAAAATTATGGGTTTACGAAGAAAGAGGGGGTTACGCACGGGAAAACACAGTGCGTTTTCACGCACCCGCGTGCGTGCACAACCCTTCGGGAGTACACCCGGGTAAAGCAACGCCGGCTCTCGCGGCGATAAGTCTTCGACCGCGTTCGAAGGAGTTGGGCGTTTGTTCGAGGCAGACAAGGGGCAACATTGGATGGGGTGGGGCGGAGGGGGAGAGGCGGAGAGAGAAATATATAATATGGATATGGAAACGAGGGAGCAGGGAACTGTCAAAGAGGAGCGGGAAGAGGAGTGAGCAGGACGGCTGGGCTTGCGAGGCATCTCGGCGTGGCTCTTGTTCTTGCCCCTCATGCTTCTAATTTCCTTCTTGCTGGTCAAATCCTGCGATTCATTGTTTATTGGGGGCCTCTTGGCACCATTTTGGGTTCCTCTTCGCGGGCCTCTGGCAGCGTATTGGGGTGCCCTGGAAGCGTAGCTGGCGGTTTCGGGAGCCATCGAAGACGCCTACGGCGAACCACCGCCGCCCCTTGCATTTTGGAAACGCCTCTGTGGCTAAACGTGGGGCCAGAACTGGGCCAAGTTGTTGGACCATGCGTTCCGCCAGCCGTTGTGGAAACCTGTCGGGGAACACTTGGGGAAGGAAGAGGGAGAGCAGGAGAGGGAGGGAGGAACATGGAGGAGAGAGGAGGAGGGCTCTTGGGGGACCCCTTGGGGCCTCTTGGGGAGTCCGGAGAGCTTCCTGGCGGCCTCTTCGAGGCCTCTTGGGAGCCTCCTTGGGCTTCTTGGGGGCCTCTGGGAACTTCTTGGGAGCTTCGTTGGCCGTGTTGGGGCGTCCCTGGCCCCTTCTGACGCCGTCGGAAGTTGCCTTGGAGGCCTCTCTGAACCGACTTGGGGCCCTCTTGGGGCGTTTCAGGGCCGTCCTGGAGTCCACATCGGGCGTCTTGGCGACCTCTTGGGCCGTCTTGGGGCCGATCAGCCGGTCAGCCGATCAGCGGTCGGCCAGCCGATCAGCCGATCAGCCGATCAGCGGTCGACCAGCCGATCGGCTGGATTCGGATACCACCCGGGGCGCCGTCGCCCTGAGAAGAGCGCCTTCTTGTTGTCGTAGCCCTTGCTGTTAGCCATGGGGGTAGGCATTCCTTCTTGTTGGTGCGCTGGTGGAGCCTCGCTCCGCAACTTACGTGGAGCTGCGTTAATGGTTGCGACTCGTTGTTGGTTGGCGTGGTCTAGGTCCTTACTCCGTTGGTGCAGTAAAGCTTGTCCTCATTGAAGTCGATGAACATCGATGGCTTGCTAAAGACTTGTGCGGATATCCAGATGTCTTCGTCTTGACCTTATAGAGGTAGAGTGATCCGCTGAGGACGGAGATCCAGCGGAGGCTTCATGGTGTACTGCGCTTGGCAATGAGGAGCACCAGGGGCGGGCTGGTCAGCTTGGGCTAAGCTTTTGAGCTGAAACTGGGCTACGGTTGGTGATGTGTCTGCTGTTGTTTGCTGGTGATGTATTGAGGGGTGGCATCTATTTACAGGGCGAGCGATCGTCGCCACGGTGAGGCGTGCCAGAACCACTGCTGAGGGAATGGTCTGTATCCTAAGCAATGGACCGCCGTGGCCCGCATTGCGGGGTGGCCACCGCCCGTCGGGGTCATCCTGCTGAGCTTCATAGCCGCCTGTGAGAGTTGAGCATGTAGTCGTTTCCTCTCTAGAAGCCGTAGTACGGGTCCAGCGGGATGTAGAACTCCGCAGTGTCGCCTTCCATGTCCCAGTTCTCGCGGTCTCGTGGTTGTGTCCATCCGTGGTGGATGGCGTCCAGGAGTCCATGATGGCGTGAGCTAGCACTCTGCACATCTCGGTGGTGTATGTCTTGGCGGTAGAGCTGTTCCTCTCCCTCCTTCCCCTCCTCCTCCTCCTCTTCCTCCTCCTTCAGTCCCTTTCCTTCTGAATTATTCGTCCCTGTCGCACCCCGTGGCCAGTCAAAAAGGCGGGCCGGGCTTCGCCTGTTTTTTTTTTTTTTTCGCTTGTGAGCCTCAAGCTTTTAAATAGCTTGCAACAGTTTAACAGATGCAGGGCGGGTCGTTTTCAAAATCTTGTTCTCGTTGTAGCGCCTCGCGCATTCGTTGTAACAGTTTGCAAGAGTTCCACGGACTGAAGGTGGGTGGTTTTCAGATTGTGGTTCTCGCCTCATGGCCGCGTGCATTCGTTTCAAGTATTTGCAAGAGCTCCACGGATTGAGGGCGGTTCGATTTCAACATGTGGCGCGCGCTTTGGCGCCGCGCAGGTTCGTTGTCAAGAATTAGCAAGCGCTTCACGGATTGAGGGCGGCTCGTTGCCAACATGTGGCTTTTGCCTTAGCGCCGCGCAAATTCGTTTCAAACACGTGCGAGAGTTTTACGGGTCTCATGGTTAACGTGCCAGGAATGGTGTTTTGGAACGAGTCAGAGCCGTCAGGGCGCAACAGTTACGTGGATTCGCGGTGTTCGAGTCCCAAGAAAGGTGTTCTAGCAACATTCAGGATCGTCAACACGCTACGGTCAGGTTGATTCGTGGCGCTGGTGTCCTGAGAATGGTGTTTTGTCGGGCTGGGCGAAAGGGGGGGATTGGGAAAGGGGGGGTTACGAAATTTGCTGCACGCAGCTGGTTTCGGCCTCACCGAGGGGCCCATTCCTCGATACATGGCCGCCTCCGGCGCCAGGAGGCGCCGGGAAAATCAGCTACGTGAGCTGATTCTAAAACCCCCCCTTTGCTATCCCCCCCTTTCGCCCGACCCGATTTTGGCACGCTCCAGGATATCCAAACGATTGTATCCCTACGTCGTACTCCCCCCAGTGGAAATGAACTCTTGTAGGGGCTTACGAATATGGAGCTTAGAAGGAAGGTGTATTTCCAGCATCGTTGAGGAGTCTTGGGCTTGCACTGGTCCTCCTCATCCTCCTCCTCCTTCGGGGCGTGAGCTGCGCACGCGCAGGAACCGACCGGTCGCCAGCTGGGCACCTTCGGTGAGCGGGGCCCGGCCGTCCTTCGGCCTGGCGCGGCGCGCACTGGCGCGGGGGGGCTCTGCGGTGCCGGGAAAGGGCGATGCTGTCTCGAGGAAGGAGGAGGAAGAGGAGGAGGAGGAGGAGGAGGAGGAGGAGGAGGAGGAGGAG